CTACCCCTAGGAAGGGAGAGAAAGCAAGCCATTAGGTTATTTTACAGTGGAAAAAAGGAAATCTCTACATGCTTTTCATGTGGGAGCCCCTGAGAACAGAGTTCTAGGTCGGTTTCCCACCCTGTCCTCATCAGGAAAGCATGCCAAAGAAGCCTGTGGAGATGAGACTCAAAGACTGGGAGCTCGAGCTAATCTTAGAGCTCCCTTTTGTAGGCCCCACCCTGCTTGCCGATTAGCTTTACTCTTCTGCTATGGATCAAGACTGAGACTAGAGTACACTGAGTCAGTCCGAGATTTAGAACCTTCTCAAATTTACAGCACACATTCCTGACTTGCCTTGCTGGGTGTGCAGGAGACAAAGCAGTTGTCCCCAGTGTGCTGCTGGCCATGGCCATGTACTTGGATCCCCAAATGTCACACACACCTTGGGAGCCCTCTTGAGCCCTGTTTATCTTCACTTCTTACCTGGAACTGGGTCTCTGGGGCTCCTGCCTCCCTTGCAGCTCTGCACACTAGGGTCCCACGGCTTCCCTCCTTGTTCCACCTGGGTGCTTATGACCTCCTGACCAGGAATGCAAGACTCTGTTCACAATGAGAGAAACATCATCACTTTCTTCTACCATGCAGAGAAAACAAGTCTTGTTCCCTGCCAGCAGCAGACAAACAAACTCACCCAAAGCCTGACATATATTACCCGGGAAATACACCAAACCATCCCCAGTAGTTACTCTGTAGAAAAAAGAAATTAGAGAAGACTATGGGTTTTTTTTAAAAAATATTTTCAAAGAAGTTGAATTTTTTAAATGAGAATATACAATTTGCAATTCAAGTAACTATAAACACAAGATGACCCCTTCTTTGAGAATCAAAGTTGGCTACTTAACTACAGTTAAGCTAAACTTAACTGTAAAACTCTAGAAGAAAACATGAAATCAATTGGAAAAGAACCCCAGGCTCCTAGAAAACCATGAGATTAAAACTCGTAAATCTTCCTGTGCTGTGCTAAAAAGAAAAGCAAACAACTCACTCTGCCTCCAGCAAAACAGACAGACTTAAACAGGAGCTCATTTTCAACAAACCAGAGTCTCAGAGTTGGCATAGCAATGCAAAGTCATGCAAAGCCAGGGGGTGGGTCTCAATGAAGGAAAGCAAAAGCACAATAATGCTGCACAAGCAGTCCAAGTGAGTTCGAAGTTCTAACTGGCTTTACACAAACATGGTGGATGAAAACACTTGCAATGTGATATCTTCCTGGTGTGTGTTTCAGTATAATCAATCATTCTGTATACAGCCCCAGTTAGAGTGCCTCCAACTTTTTCTTTTCTTTTTCTTTTTGGTTTGTAGAGACAGGGTTTCTTTCTATAGCCCCGGCTATCCTGGAACTCACTCTGTAGTCCAAGCTGGCCTCAAATACACACAGATCTACCTGCCTTTGCCACCGGAGTGCTGGGATTAAGGTTATGCACCACCACTGCCTGGTGCCTCCAACTTTTTATTATGAGAATTTTCATATACACAGAAAAGGCTGAGGAACTATGTAATATTTACATATATCCTATCAAATTCAGCTATCAGTTTGTCTTATTTTATTGGCATCACTTTTAATCTTTTAACAATTATTCAATACACAGATGTACTTTAATCAACGTATTCTCTAACTTACTTTGTGAATACACAGTGTTCCAAATTTATAAGTTCCACTTCCCTTCCTGGATTTTTACAGGCTAAGAGAGCTAATAAACTGATCTGTTGATGCCAGCACCCCTGGCTTTTCTGTCTTTGGTGAAAAGTCTAGAAATATCAAAGGAGCAGAGGGCATAAGAATGCCAGTAAGAATGTAGAGCACTGAACATGTGAGACATGGGTCTTTGGTCACTGGATATGCTTTGTGCTGCCCTTGGACGTTCTCTACAGCCCAGACTCTGCCTTAAACTCCAGCAACGGAAATACAGTCTAAAGATGCCATTAAGTCTGTCAACTGTGTCACTTGGCAGATGTTTAACTGACCATAGTAGGAGAAACTTTAGAGCAAAGGGGGTGCGTGTGTCTGGGTGTCTCTTGTCCAGAAGGAATGTGTGTTCCAAGGAGCAGGGCACTCTGGTCATAAATGCCATCATCCCAGAAAGAGAAGTTCTTACCTAGTGTGCCCACGTTCTCATAACTATCTTGCACCATTTCCCTTGAGAGAGCTCTCTTACTAGGATCCTGATGGCCCCACTCCTGAGAGATATACATTGCCACATCCTCGAAGTTCTCAGGCAACTGAAATAACACAAGATCTCTTTTAGCATCATATGTAACAGGAACAATTCAAGCAGAGTTCTGGTTAAAGGAGGAAAACCAGGAGTGCCAAGAAAACATGTCACAGGGGAAAACACAAAGAAGCTAAGGGAGTTATCTGATCAGAAAGAAAAAGGTCCTCCTGGTAGCAGAGGGTACCTCCCAGCCCAAAAGGAGAGGAGAAAAGGAGGATTCTGGGGAGAGGCAATGAGAACTTCCACATCACCTGGGACCCAGTCATATCCTTATCTTCCATATTCCCTTCAGGAGGAAAGAGAGAGAGCCAGGGAGCAGATAATGCTGAAGATGACAGAAATCATAATGAGAACAGTAACATTATCTTGGCAACCCACAGATTATAACAACACAATATGCATTCCCCAACACCCAGTCTCAGCTTTTAGGATTGACATTAAACAAAAGGTAGCAAAAGGTGTAATAAGGAGATTAAAGTAATGGGGGCCACAGTAAAGGTATGTGAGCAGTCCTTCATCCCAGTCAACAGTTCTAACCACACACATCCCATGTCAATCATCTAACTATAACTGCAAGTTCTGTACGCAAAAGGGCTTTCCTAAGAGATTCCCCTTTTCCTCCCACCCACCCCTCACAGAACCCACACCACCACTTTTAACTTTTTCAGACCACATCTGAGAACCTTAACTTCAGAAATTCCTTCTCCTTAACACCTGTACTACATTCTACTAGGGTCAGAGGCAACCCCAAAGTCCCTCCTCCATCCCGCCTGCCCAAATAACTGCCCCTCACCCCTCTCCTTTACAGCCTGGGGGTCCCTTTTGGGGCTGGGGTCTAGCAGCTCCTGCAGCCTGGGGCCAGGGCTTCGCTCAGTCTCCATTGGCTCCAGCTTGAAGCTCGGTGACTCTCCTGCTGTTTCCAGTGGCAAAGGCTCCTCCAAAAGCACTTCTGCTCCCCGCCCTTGGTTTGTGACCTGGGAACCAACCCACATCACTCATCATCACAATGGGGCTGACAGAAACGGAAATCAGTACAGGATTCTAGGACAAGCCTTCAACAGAGAATCACAGACCATCCCTTTGGTCTTGGCCAAATAGATGGTTAATGCTAAAGGCTCTTAGATTGTGTGAAGCACAGAAAAATGGGAGGGATGGGAGCAAGAAAAAGTGAGGGTCCACTGACAGAGCACACTTCAATGTACTCTTCTGATACACCTTACTTCTGCTCGCTTGCTCTTGTTTTCTCTCTTTTCCTAGCTATTTCAATTTTTCACTACTAGATAAGGTGAACTTATCAGGCAGTGGCCACAAAGCCTCAGTGCCTAGCTGTTTTTCAAACTTCAATTAACAGAGATCCAATTCTGCATCGGAGACTGCTAAGATACATTGGGTATTAGCCACTAAATATAAACCTGGGGCGATGGCAAATGTCTGTGGTATCCCAGAACTAGGGAGGTTGAAGCAGGAGGGGTGCTTCGAGTTTAGGCTTGGGTTGCATAGCTAGAGCTGCCTTTAAAAAAAAGAGAAGAGGAGAGCCAAGTGCAATGGCACACGTCTGAAATCCTAGAACTCCAATTCTGGGAAACTAAAGCTGGGAGGATCACCACTGGTCTGGAGCCAAGCTAAACTACACAGTGAGTCACAATCAGCTTGGGCTACATAAGACCCTGTCACAAAACAAACAAACAAAAAACTCTCCAAGAGTGGCAGTAGTGTCATCCAAACGTGGCATACTGTTCTCCTGACCTCCGGAATTGTCCCCAGACAGTACTTTTGCATCTTCATTTTACCAACAGAAAAACAGGACAAATTAAATTAGTCTGCCCAAAGTCACAAAGCTAGTACTAACAAGGGCTAGCTACTGGTGGAGCGACGCCTACAAGTTGAAATAAAGTCCTCATCACTGCCCACTACCGTCATATGGGGGAAATCTGTAAGGAAAATGTTCCAGAGAAACCACAAAAATCCCTCTTCCTCATGTAAAGTCTACTCAGGGGAATCAAGTATATTCGACTACAAAACTAGGCTAGCAAAATGCCCTAGTCTTCTGGGCCAAACCACAGATAAAACAGCTCTTTCTGTCACCTGTTGCCTCAGTTTCCCAAGTTCTCTCTGCATACGCTCCACAAGGGTTACTGCTTCTTCGCCGCTCTCTGGGCGCAGCTCCTGCACCCTGCTCTGAATCTCTTGGGGAAGAATAGTCAAGAACTGCTCCAGCACCAATAGCTCCAGTATCTGCTCCTTGGTGCGCATCTCCGGCCGTAGCCACCCGTGGCAAAGCTCCTGAAGCTGGCTAAGGGCCTCTCGGGGTCCAGCGGCCTCTTGAAAGCGGAACCGTCGAAAACGCAGGTGGGAGGCCTCCGGGCTGGGCTCTGGGTCCGGCGGGGGAACTTCCTGGCTCCAGGTGCAGTCCTCCTCCAGTTTCACTATCAGGAGCCCTTCCGGCTCCTGGGAGCCCGGACCAGCAGCCATGGTCATGCCCCCAGAGTGCCTAAGTCCCGAAACCAGCCACGTCCGCCTTGAAAGACGCCCTAGGTTGCGTGCAACAGGAGAGCACGACTGCACTAGTCGAGAGGCCCCGGCCTCCAAATCCCGCCGGAAGAACCCAGTTCGAAATCTTGGCAATAATGGCTCTGCAGCGTCTCCACCTGACCGGCTTCTCAGGCCCGCACAGAACTTAGCCCTCAGCGCCCGTGGCGGAAGTCTCAGCGCGCGAGTTATGCGTCATAAGCCAACGGCCGCTAGTCGAGACGGACTTCCGATTCACGTCTTGCTTACTCTGTCTCCCATTGGGTCGGGTCTCGCCACGTACTCACGGCCGGCGGTCCACAAGGGAAAATTGGCATAGAAGAGCGGGAGGGGAAATTGTCCACTTGTTGATGAGAGGCGGGGCTACAGAGTGGGCGTGGCAGCAGGTGGGAAGCCGTAAGAGTGGTGATCCCTGGGCGGCCCTGACCGGGACACCACTTAGGTCCAGTTTTCTTAGATTTGCCAAAAGCAATGTTCCTGAGCTACGCTCGAACCAGAATCCAGCTGCGTTAGAGTGTCATGTTGGGGCCCAAAAATGTCCGTTGTTAGCTGCTCCATAAAGAAAACCTTCCTGAAGGCCGATACCAACCCGGGAGAATTACGGCCTCTGCAGCAGAGGCGGGTGCCCTGCGCTTACAGGGCTCGAGCCGCGCGGTGACTGCTGGGAAATGTAGTCCACGGCACGCCCTTGTTCCTGCGCCTGCGGCGTGGATCCAGCATTCCAAAGCAGGTTGAGTTCCGACTACCACAGTAAACCGTATTTAGGTCCCTGTGCGCTAGCTTCCCTTTGAGCAGTGGTCCCTAGTCCTCCAGCTTTAAGCGGCTAGTCGACCCAGAGGAACGCGCTGGGCATGACTTGTTCTATGCTGCTCTCCCAGAGCAGGTCTGTGGCCGAGCTCTGCGAGAGCAAGATTGTCAGATTGTGGGCTGTGACGGTCATCCTGAGGGAAGAAGCGAAGGGAAACACCAGGGAGGACCCCTTCTCTTTTGAAGAGAGAACTGCCCAGGCCTGAGACCGGAGCATGTCTGTGACGGCTCATGGAGTCCGCAGATCCTAGGAGTGTGTGGCGAAAACCAGTAATCGTTTATTAAACACATGCTTACATAAAATAAGACCTTCACAATATTGTATAAAGTAGGCTTTATTATAAGCCCTGTGATTGTGGCACCGGGTGTCAGTTAATAAGCCTTTTGCCTAAGTTATTCTATTTAGACTGTGGAAATAAAAGTCGTCTGTTTTGAATGACTGTGTGTAGAGTCCGTATTTCCTCATTTCATCACAGGTACAAACAAAGGCCCACAGGCTGCAATGGCACATGCTTATCCAGACGCAGATGGGCAGGTATAGGTTAATTTAGGAAAACCTTGTTAAAGCTTGTGAGGTTGAGACAGACAGCTCAGCGGTTAAAAACACTTAATCTGCCCTTCTGGGGGACCTGGATTCTGTTCCCAGCAACCGCATGGTGGCTCACGGCCTTCTATGGGATCTGACACCATCTTCTAGCCTCCAAAAGCACTGGTGTATGCCAGGCGTATAATGCAGTTGCAGCCCAAACTGAAAGATTAATGAGCTTCCGACAGAAAAGTTGACCCCACCTGTGTGCTGTTAGGATCCAGAGAGCTTCTGTTAAGATCAACTACCAACCTCCTTTGGTATTTACTGTGAGCCCCTCCACGAGTGGCCAGGCCCCTCCCCTGAGGACCTCCAACTGCCCATCTAACAAGCTTAACTGCCCTAACGCCTGGGCCCTGCCCCCACCCTACCGAGTTAAAAACTCCAGCTCTGGACTTGAAATCCTACCAATCCCCACCCTGAAAAGTTCCACCCCCCTCAAGAAACTAAGCCCTGCCTTCTGCTCAGTCCTCTGCTGTTTGTCATGTGAACAGAGGCAGCCACCCTCCTGTTTTGTTTTGTTTTGTTTTGTTTTCTCCTCCCAATAAATCTCTTGTGTGAGGTTTGTTGTGTGGTATAACTTTGTGGTATTCCTTGGCTCCCAACTGCCAGGATGCCTTTCTATCTAAGCTGTAACCCTTACATTTGGTTAGGCTCTCCTTGTGCCTGCCTTTCCCTCGGAGGCCTAAGCTGCCCTGGGACTCTTTTCCTCACCTTGAGTCCACCTGCAACAGACTCACTTTCTGGCTCACCACTGGCTTAGCATTCCATCCACTAGCAGCAACTAGGTAAGTTTCCCCTTTAATCCACGTAAATGTTTCTCTGAGTCTGAGGAAGTGACCATTGAGTAGCCAGCACCCCTCTGCTACTCTTCGAGGTGGGGGTACCCCCAGCCATAGTTGTTAATGCTACAGCTGAACCTCTTCACTTGACCCCAGTCCCCAAACCTTGGAACTGCAATCCTTGGAACTGTTTCCAACTGGACTATTACACCCCTTCCTGCCCTCTTCTCCCATCTTCCATTTGGAGCTGCCCATAATCCCTCAGCTCCTTTAGGCCCTCATGGCTTCTGTGATCCCATTCCTGACCCTTTCCTGTGGGTGAGACCCTCTCTGAGAGCGTGGTTTTTGTCCTCACCTCCTGGCCTCTATGAAAATGCTGGTACCAGGCACCCAGGCACCAAGTCTATCCTCTGGCTTAGCCAGGCTATGCCCATGTCCTTCACCCCCTTGAGTGTGGAACCACAAAACAGTTTGGTCCTCCCTGAATCCTGGGGACAGCCACAACTACAGGTTGCAGTGACACTTTCCTTCTTTCTCAACCATGGCTACATGTCTTCCAGTCTTCCATACCCTCTCATTCCCTCTTGGGATGACTCTAAGCAAACTTTCAGCCACTACACCTGGCACCTGACCTGAAGGACCCTACATTTATTCACTTTTACAATTAAATTTGGCTTCAATACCCCTTAGATGATCAATCCAAATGGTCACCCAATGGCACCCTAGATCTCAGTATTATTTGAGACGTTTACAAATGCCGCAAGTGATCAGGAAAATGGAAAGATTTCCCATTCCCTGTTTCTCTTTTCTCCTACGTTACAAGCCCTGTTTGTTTGTCTGCCCCCCCCCACACACACAGTGTAAATGTCCTGTTTTTTATTTATTTACTATAGATGGATCTCCTAAGTTTGTTGCAAAGTCAGAGCCTGGAGCCAGATGGGGAGAAAGCAAAGGATTAGGCCAGCTGCAATATGCACAAATTCTTCATTGGCTGATTCATCTATCAGCTCCCTCCTGCAGGATCCTCTGTGTATAGCCTGGACTGGAAAATTTCCTATCTCTAAGTCTTCTTTTTCTCAGCTTACTAGATTCCATTTTACATGAATTCAGGTGTCTTTTAGGTGTGAGTGGCATTAGACCATGGTTTTATGCTATTCCACTTCATGTAAAATCTGGCAATGGAGTGATGTTATGGCTCCTTCTCCTCTAGACCCAAGCATGTTTGTTTAAAGGCTTCTTCCAAAATATGTGTCCCATATCAGGTGATCCACCTAAAGGAGAGCAAAACAAACAAAGGGACAAACTATTAAAGTGCAGGTGATTACTACTTACCACATACTCTTTTGGTTTCGGTTGAACACCCCAAAACTTATGCTAAGGTATAAATTGTATCTCAAGATTTATAAAATAATTGTATACATTGAGATTTGTAAGCATATCGGGTATATGTGATGGCTATTTTTGGTTGTCAACTTGACTATATCTGGAATAGATTATAATCCAGAAATAGAGGGCACACTTGTCATTAGACATTGAAGCAAGAAGACAATAGGCCTTTTACCAGATCTTGAGGCTGGATGACATACACCTTTAATGTGGGTAACACCTTCTTCTGGAAGGACAATGGAAGAAGGAAGGTTTTGATCTTTGCCTGCTCGCCCTCATCTTGCTAGCACATCCATTCCTTCACTGACATTGGAGCCTACTTCTTTGGGATTCCAGCATATACAGAAGACCATCTGTGATATTTGGCTGTGGTGGAACATTATTTTAACTGGGCAAAAATGTGATACATTTGATTATGTTGCAGAATATGACTTTAACTGTGTAAAGGTGTGTTGCTTTTGTTTATGCTGCATTTAATTATGTAAACATATGCTGCATTTGTTTCACCTTGCCTGCCTAAGATACCTGACTGATCTAATAAAAAGCTGAATGACCCATAGCTAGGTGGGGCTAGTCAGCAAAGAGAATAAGTAGGTGCAGTCACTTTGCCCCAAATAAACACATAAAGACTTGTATTAATTATAAACTGTTTGGCTGATGGCTCAGGCTTCTTACTGGCTAGCTCTGTCTTTATTACTCCCCACCACTCCTCTCTGTGTCCTCTCCCCAGAATTCTCGTCTGGTAGCATCACCTATACTTCCTGCCTGGCTACTGACCAATCAGTGTTTTATTCATCAACCAATAAGAGAAACATATATACAGAAGAACATCAGGAGGAAGAATGAGGAAGAGAAGAGAGAAGCCAGGCAGCCATCAGCCAACAAACACAGGGTAAAATATATAGAAGGAAAGAAAAGTAAACAGCCCTGAGGCAAAAGGTAGATAAAGAGAAACATTAATTTAATTTAAAAGAGCTAGCCAGAAATGAGTCTAAGCTAGGCCAAGCATTCAAAACTATAATGTGTCATAATTTGAGAGCTTGTTGGTGGATGACACACTTTTATCCATGCCCGTATCTCAATATTTCAAACCAACTCAAGTTGTTGATTAGACTCTCTTAAGATGTGTATGCATGAGGGCCCTACCCTGCGCTGGGAGTGGTGGGTGGATGGGGTGGGGGATAGGTTGGGGGTGGGGGAGGAGGGATGGGGGTGAAGGGAGAGGGAGAAGGGACTTACATGTGAAACAAGCTTGTTCCCTAACTAGAACTAATAAAAAAATAAAAAAAAGATGTGTATGCATCATTTTCTTCTGTTGGCTTCTGACAACCACCATATTTGATTCCCAATTCTAGAGTCCACCTCTTAGCCTCTTCTTCCCTTCACCTGCTCTATCCATCCATCTCTCCTCCCCTACTCAGTAAGTATCCTTCTTCTCTCTGCCTCCTGGATCCCACTACACCCTCTGGTGCCCCACCTTGTGGGCAACTCTGTAGTTACTAAGACATTTACTCCTCTGCCTCTATCGGAACCCTTGCCTTCTGCACCAGGAGCTGCCTGTTAAGTCCCAGAGCTTCCTTAAGCCCTTCCCAGTCTCCGTGACCTTCCTCCTCCTCCTGTCTCCCAGCTCCATCCTGGAAGTCTCACAGCTTCTCCACGCCCACGGTGCTTCTCTCTCGCCTCTCAGCTTCCACTTGGAGCTTATAGAAACTTCCTCCAGCCGAGTTCATTTTGCTACTCTAACTTTCTTCCTCCATGGACTCAGATTTTATTAAAGCCTCACTCTATTACCACAAAACAGCATGGTCCAAGTACATTTTTGTTGCTGCTGGAGCAGCAGGACTGACTACTTCCCCAGCTATTTGCCGCAATCTTTCCTATGAATTCATCCAGCATCTTCAATGGGTGGCTCAGACCATCTTCACCCTCCAGGGCCAAATAGACTTGCTGGCTACCTTAATGCTACAAAATCAGTGTGGATTAGATTTACCAACAACAGAGAGAAGTTTGACCCTTCCTTTGGGAAGGAATGTTGCTTCTGTGTTAACCAATCAGGTATAGTGAAAGACATCATCTTGACAATTCCAGACAGATCTTCAAAAATGTAAGAGACAATTGGATACCTCTGGCCAATGGCTCATTGACAGTTCAATATGGAATTGGATATTACCCTTCTTAATCCCCTTCTCCTTTTTTTTTTTTTTTTTTTTTTTTTTTTTTGCTTTTCGAGACAGGGTTTCTCTGTGGCCTTGGAGGCTGTCCTGGAACTAGCTCTTGTAGACCAGGCTGGTCTCGAACTCACAGAGATCCACCTGCCTCTGCCTCCTGAGTGCTGGGATTAAAGGCGTACGCCACCAACGCCCGGCTCCCTTCTCCTTTTCTTAATCATAATAGTCATATCCTGCCTTATAAACTTCTTGTCTAGATTTCAAAAGATTTCTAACCAGACAGAGTCAAAAGATTTCTGAACAGACTTAATCAGTCACTATTACAGGTTTACCAGCCCCTAGCTACAGAGCCAGAGGCCAGTGACTCCCAGTTATACCCTGATGAAGATAAAGTTCACCCAAAGGACTTCAATGACATAATTTAGCAGGAAGTAATTTAATGATAACATTACTCCCCTTTCCCATATCCGGATTGTTTATCAATAATAAACCAAAAATGGGGGAATGTAAGCCCCTTGAGCCACACAAGTGGCCAGGCCCCTTCCCTGAGGACCTCCAACTGCCAGGTTCCACCCACAGAACACACTTAACTACCCTAATGGCTGGACCCTGCCCCCCACCCTACAGAGTAGAAAGCCCAAGCTCTGGATGTGAAATCCCACCTGTTGATATCCTATTTTCTCCCTCTCCCCGGGTCCTGGGCAACCTGGCCCTGTTCCTGCTCCCGACTCCTCTCCTCCTGCCCCGAGGTTTCTCCTTAGCACCTGCCTGTCACTCTGAGCCAGCCCTTTCCTGGGCCTGGGCCTTCTCCTTAGGGAAACTTTCCTGGTCGTGGGGACTCTCTAATCCTTGGGCTCTCTCTCTCTGTCCTGGGATCGCTCTTCTCTGGGCTACCTTCCCTCACTGGGGATCCATCTTTGACAGGTGACTGATCCTCCCTGACAGCTCAAAGTCTGTCAAAGGTTGCATGGCTGTGTCGTGCATGCTTTAGGTGAGTGCATAAGGACTCAGCATGAAGAAACCATGTGGAACTGGGCCAATGGCAGCTCCATGACTCCAGTTTCAAAGGCCCCAACTTCTGGCCTCATTCTAAACCACTCCATTTCCCCTTTTAAGCAAGTGCCTCCTGCCTGTTCTCTCCATTTCTGCTCCAAATCGGTTAACACTAAGCCCTCCCTTTGATTCCTTTCCCAATAAACTCCATGTGGGTTTGTTGAGTTTGGTGGATCGTGTTTCAGCCAGAAGCTGCAGCAAAGAATACATCAATCCCTGCCCTGGAAAGCTTCACCCTGAAAAGTTTGTCCCCCTCCACAAGGAACTCTATATAAGCCAAGCCTTATGCTCAGTGTTCTGCTGTTTCTCACTCGAGCAGAGGCAGTCACCTTCCTTGTTTTTCCCTCCCAATAAATCTCTTGTGTGAGTTTTGTTGTGTGGTGTGACTTTGTGACATTCCTTGGCTCCTGACTGCCAGGGTGCCTTTCCATCCAAGCTGTAACCCTTATATTTACCACTTTCAGACTGCAGGCCAACTGACCTGCAGATGCAATCAATCTTCCACCCTCAAAGTTCCTTTTCCTGCCCTATAAAATCTCCCAAACCCCTGTTGCCATGGAGCACAGTCTCCACTCCTGAGGAGAGACTGCTAGCTTTCAACAGTTCTGAGTAAAGGACAATTCTGCCTCTAGAATGGTTAGTTGGTCTCTTTATTTCTGTGCTGCCTCAGTCAATCTTGGTCTAGCGAAAATAATCATACACATAAAAATAAATCTTATTTTTTAAAAAAAAAAAAAGACTTGTGATGTCAAGCATCCCCTATTGTCATTTTCATGTATTTTTAGATATTCGAGTTTCAATGGACTATAGATTCTAACCAGAAGCCCCCTTTATTCCTAGCATTTTTCAAGTGATCTCAGACAACTTATCTACTCTCACTAAGATAATAAACCTCAGTTTTCTCTCCTGTTTTGGAGTAATATTAAACCACATCCTAGCATGGGGCAAAGATTAATAGTGCTAATAGATCTGTGGCTCATGGAACAGAGCTGTGCATACAATATGGGCTTAAATCAGGACCAACAGATTGGAAAGAGAGGGGCCATAAGAAGGCGAGAAGTTTTCACACCAGGATCTGGATGGAAGTCAGAACATTGAACACAGATGATCTAAAAAAAACTTACAGAAGTTGGCCATGGTGGCATGTGCCTATAATTCATCTTAACACATGGGAAACTGAAGCAGGGATCAGTTCAGCCCAAGCAACATAAGACCCTGTCAAAAATAAACATATAACATCACATGCTTTATACATTTATAAAACTTTGCTTGGTCTTTAAATCCTACTGTAAATTATATCATTTGAGCAAAATGACTTAGAAAACCACAAAATCATATAAAGCTGTTGTCAGAACACTACAATTCTCATGAGATGCTCACATCCATGTCTTGGGTGCATATTGTCTTTTTTTTTTTTTCAATTCTTCATGTGAAACATTAAAAGAGATTACTTATTGTACACGTTACATCTAGACACAACTGAAACAGAACTAGTTCTGAATGCACTAGCAACAGGGCCTGTTTGGGATATAAATTCAGCAGGTCTTCGAGAGGTAGCATCAGTAATACACAGTGCTGGACATTCCAGATCCACTGCGGCAAACTGTCAACAGTAGCATGAGTCCAACAATCTGAACCATCACCACCATTTCTTATTTGGCTCTTCCAGCACCAAGCCTTCCTTATTTCTGCTCTTGTAGCTTCCATGGATATACAAGCCAGTTTAGTTGGCCTGTCTCTTCTTTTTTACTTCACCCTGCACGGTCACTTCTTTCTCCACTTTGCTCTCATGGCACAGAGAGTTTCAAAAAGGATCATGGTGCTAGAGCTAAGGCCAAAAGAACCTATTCATACTTGTAGGGAGTGAATAAAGCCCTACATATATTGTTGGACATATGCATGTCAAGGATCCCAGTGCCTCAGACTCATGGGAGTAGCAAAGCCATCCTCGAGCCCAAGTATGAATGTTGACAGTGTGTGCAGAAAATCTCTAACTTCCTCTACCCCACCCCCTCACTAAATGTTTACAGCCTAAAGACAGCTCCCCTTCAGAGACTAAGAGTAGCCAAATCTACCTTGTTGTTCAGCTGTATAAACAATCCTACCTCCGTGTTTATCTTATGTAATGACCCAGCTTCCTTGTTTGTTTGTTTCCTTCCTGTTCAAATGTGTATAATAAACACACTGGGCTTTCAGGGTGCTTCAGCTTGTCCATCAGAGAGCTCAGTCCACCTGATCTGGCTCTTCTGTGTGTCTGTGTTCTTGTCTTCATTCATCACCTCCCTAGTCCCTGGAGCCATATAGGACTCAGTATATAATCTTATGGGTATCTATTTCCCTCTTTCCTTCTGCTCCTCCACCCCTGTGTGTATGTGCCTGTGTATGTGTGGGTATCATGAATGTGTGGAAATCTGAAGTGGGGAAATCTCATAGCTCTTGATAACATTGATTTATTCTGAATCATCTTGAATTTATCTATTTGTTTATCTGTGTACATGATGTGTGGTGGTTTTATTAGGAGGTGTCACCTTGTTGAAGGAAGGTGTCAAGGTTTCAAATGCTCAAGTAAGACCCAGTGTCATTTTCTCTTCCTGATGTCTTCCAATCTAGATGTAGAACTCTCAGGTGTTTCTACAGCTCCATTCTGCCTGCATGCCTTCATGCTTCCAGCCAGGATGACAATGGACTAAACGTCTGAACTGTAAGCCAGCCTCAATTAAATGTTTTCCTTTACAAGAGTTGCATGGTCATGGTGTTTCTTCATAGCAATAGAAACCCTAACTAAGACATGACATGACATTGAAGTGTCTTTTTCTCAATAGATTATCAATAGTCCAACAACATTTACAAACTGACCTCTCTTCTCTTTGTCTTTTAAAAGTCATCTTTTGTATAAAACATATATATATATATATATATATATATATATACATATGGTTTGGTTAAAATGCACCCCCTTGGTTTCTAGGTTTTGTTTCTTGGGGGTTTTGTTGGTAGTGTTTGTTTTAAAGAGAGGGAGAAAGAACAAACTTGGGTGGGTAGGGAGGTGGAGAGAATCTGGGAGGAATCTGGGAAGGGGTAAACATAATCAAAATATGTTATATGAAAAAAATTCGATAAACACCCCCCTAAGACTCAGATATGAAAATCTTGACTCCCAGCTGGTAGATCTAATCATTAAGAGGTGACTGACCTGAGAGCTCTGAAGCAATCAATGTATTAATCCACTAGGTGATTTATAATTTGATAGCATATTGGGAGTTCATGAATTCTTTTAGAGGTGGAGCCTAGTTGGAGGAAGTTAGTAACTGGGGCATGTACTTGGAGACGGATTGTTAAAGGCAGCTGTAGACAGACAGAGGTAGAATGAAAGAGAACCGTAGTCTGACCTTAAGCAGGACGGTGGTTATTCACGGTGAGGGACATTTTTTGTCTTTCATGTGTGCAGAGGGCCAAAATGCCCACAGAAGATGGGATACAGCCCCTTATAAGAGCAGAAGTGACTTACATAGTCTGAAAGGAAAGCTAGGAAAGTATCTTATCCTGGGCCCTTCTCTATCAGAATATCTGCTTTCTAGTCACCATGACATGAGAAGCCTCTGCCATGTGCTCTCTACCTCATCTCAGAACCAAAGCAATTCATTAAAAAAATATTCCATAGTCCTGGATGGAAGACTCACTATTATAAGTTCATTAAGCAACCCTAAATTAACAAATTCTGTTCAGTTCCTCCTCTGCTGTCTTCTCTTCATACAGAAGCCATATGTGACCTCTTTATGTGTGTGCGCTGGCTGCATGCATGTATGTGCATCATGTACATGTCTGGTTCCCAAGGAAATCAGCAAAGGGTGTTGACCCAGAACTGGAGTTACCAATAGTTGTGAAGCACCATTTAGGTGCTGAGAACTGAACCTGGGTCCTCTGCAAAAGCAACAAGTTTTCTTACCTCTTGAGTCATCTGCCAGCCCTAGAAGCCATGGGTTTTGGGTGGGGTTTGTTTGTTTTTGTTGTTTGAGATAAGGTCACTCTATGTAGCCTTGGCTTGCTAGGAACTCACTATACATGTCAGACTGGCCTAGAACTCATAGGGATCCACCTGCCTCTAATTTCCAAATGCTGGGATTAAAGGTGTGCACCGCCACGCTCATTTTAGAAGATGAAGTTTTAAAGTGTCAGTCCGATCATGTCAGGTGAGGTGGTGTAGCAGGCCCCTACACCTTAGCACAACTGATTCTATGATGGAAGTATCAGTCAGGCTGTAAAACTTGGTATGTAGACAGCTCCACTTGCCAAAACCAAAGCAAAGATCTAATCCATCAAAGTCCATAGTTCTGGGAAAGTCTCTACATGGACTAACTTTTTGGCTTTTTAGTTCTGTTTTTGGCTAACTATTCTTGTTAACTGAGTATGTCAACCCAGGGTATGGTTTTTGTGCTTAAAAATCCTACCCCAAGAAAGCCTTGGGGGCTATACTGGTACCCTGAAAATTCAGTGTAGTCACCAGCTGCCCAACAAAGACTTTCTATTTGCTTAAACCCATGTGCAAGCAGTCTTCTCTGGTGGATACCCCACAATGGTGGCACATGTCTGTTATCCTAGCATTTGAGACATGGAGGCTGAAGTGCTACTAAAAACTTGGGGGAAATCAAAGTCTGTACCCCAAGAAGCCAAGTTCAGCTACCTTGTCTTAAGCAAATTAAAACAGCCAAATTAATAGTAAAAGGTAGAAAGGAGAGATTTATTCAGTATAGTGGCAATGGGAAGAGGGAATAAGAGATCCAGTCTACCTTCCAGAACGGAAGTTAGGTTATAGTTTAAATAGAGGGTGAGGGATGTGCACCTCTAAGCAGCTACCATCACAGTGTGGTCCCGCCCACTGCTGACCCCTCATTGTCTGGGCTTCAGGAACATCCTGTGAGGTAATATGACCACTTGAAAAGATTTCCTAGAGTTTTAACACCGTAGGAAATCTGGCTAGCACCCCTTCCTTCTCTTGACATGAGCTTCCTAGGGAAACTCCAATTTCTTTGGGGTCCATTGTTTCAAGTGTTTCTTTAGAATTTCTACCAGGTCAGTTACAAGAGGACCAAGTATTGGAAGTCAGCTTCAGCTGCATGGAAAGTTAGAGGCCGCCTTGGGCTACATAAGTTTCTATATTGTGACAGGGCATGACACTGCAGAGTTTCCTCCATCTTATATTCTTGCTGAGGCCATTTCAGGGTTAACTAGAACTTGATCTCCCTGATGGAGAATCCCATGTAAAATTACCCAACTCTGTTCCAGGAACCGAAAGTCAGGCTGTCATAGATAATTTATCTAAGCTTCTGTCAAATTTCTTGTTTACTAAAATACCACACACACACACACACACACACACACACACATACATACACACACACACTAATGAGTAAGACACCAGAATGTGGCTTTTGCCTTTAAAAAAAAAGTGGATATCCAAGGCTATACTGAGGTTGCCAAATGCTTGGGTGTTGTCCCAGCTGTCTATAACAAAGATTTCAGTCAGCTATAAACTGTGTCTGAATGGTCATCTCTGGTGAGCTAATCATAACAATATTAAAAAACAAAACAAAACAAAAAGTCAGCTCCTGTCACTGCTCAAACTCTCCAGTATCTCCTCATCTTAGGAGATAATGACATTTTTGCCACAATCCTGAAGCCCTATTTGATCAGGCACCAGGTTCCCTTTTGTTGTTTTGTTTTGGGAAACAGGGTGTCACAATGCTTCTGAGAATATCCAGGAATTTACTATGTAATCTAGGCTGTCCTTGACTTTGCTAGTGATCCTCCAGGCTCAGCTTCCAAAGTGATTAATATGTAGGATACCATATCCAGTTGTTCCTCAATATTCCCTCCCAATACTCAAGCCTCACTGTCCCTCCTCAGACACTAAGCACAGTCACCCCCGGTGTCCTTGTACTCACTGTGAGTAGGCAAAGCCTCCTCATCCTCTTCCATACACTTCCTGTGGGATCTGTTGAAGCACAAAGGCCTTCTTCTACTGTACCTTTAAAATACCAGGGGCTGGGATATAGCTCAGTGTTTGCAGAACACTTGCCCAAAATACCAAGCCAGTCCCCTGCACTCACAAAGCCTTGTATTCTGTTGTGGTTTGGTGAACTTCCTTATCATGGCCATGCAAGTGATTTTATTGTCTGTCCACACTTTCCTATAACAATGTAAACTCTGTGAAGAGCTTGGCTTTATTTGTATCTGTACCCCAAAGTACCTAGAATGGTACTCAGCGTGTGCCAAGTTCTCAGTAACTATGACTTAAATGTATGGTCTCAGTATGTCTCTTCCTTGCTAAGTTTTCAGCATGTCAAAAACTCTTCTAAAGTTTTCCCAGAATGGAAGGTGCTCTAAGAATACCTTATCTGGGAACTTCCAGTGCTAAACTGAGCAAACTGTTTTTTGGTCCCACAAACATTTTTGTAATCTTCCATCTAAACCAAGATTTCCTCATCTATAAAAAAACAAAACAAAACAAAACAAGGAAAACCAGGTATGGTGTCTTGTACTTGTAATTACAGCATTTGGGAGGCAAAGGCAGGAGGATCAGAAATTAAAGGTCATTAACTACTTAGCAATTTTGAGGTAGCCTGGACTAAATGAGAACTTATTTCAAAAGAGAGAGCAAAACAACACACACACACACACACAGAGAGAGAGAGAGAGAGAGAGAGAGAGAGAGAGAGAGAGAGAGAGCCAACAAACAATCCCCAAATCAAAACAAAAGCCACCAAAAGCTGAGGCTGCAGCTCAGTGGTAGAGTATTTAGTAGTACTGTACGACTCCTTATTGATCCCCACACCACAAAAATAAATAGTAAGAAAGAAAAGAAAAAGAAAAAAGTGTCTTCCTCACGGACTTGGGTGATAACTAAAGGAAAAACACATGTATAAAATAACACATCCCAGGTTCCGTCAGAGTGAATTGTAGGTGTGTTTTGACACCCTTTATTCTCTCCTGACTCCAGATCCACAGCTGTGTCCATCATCTGGTCTAGATATCCAAGCCATCATTTTGTTTTGGTCATTGAAAAAGAAGATGTGTGTGTGTGTGTGTGTGTGTGTGTGTGTGTGTGTGTGCTATAATATGTGTAGGTACCTGTGGAAGCCAGGAGAGAGTGAGATCTCTCATGGAGTTGGAGTTAGAGTTACAGGCATCTAGAAGCTGCTCAACATTGGTGCTGCAAAGCAAATGCAGGTCTTTTGAAAGAACTGCTGAGATATTGGAGCACAGTCCAAGAATGCAGTCATATGAGGAATTTCCTGAGTGCTTGTGAGAAAACTCTAAAAAATGAAGAGTCTTGTGACCTGTTTCTTCTAAAACACAGAACTGTTCTTGGATTATGCTTTCCTGCTCCTCCCAGGTGGTGCTGATAGGAGTATAGGTCTGAGCAAGGTCCTCTGCATATAAGTTATGGTTGTGTGGCTTGGTGTTCTTGTGGGATTCCCAACAGTAGGAGTAAGGAGTGTCTCTGCCTCTTGCCTGACTGCTATTATTTACCTCTATGGAAAAACATGTTTTTGGCATGTTTGGTTTTGTCCACCATTGGTCACTTGCCCTTGCGATTATACACTTGACTCCTGTGACTTTCTTAACCCTCAGAGTATATAAATTGTCTGATGCTCTGAATAAAATTGGCTATTGCAGATCACTTTTAGGCTCCATTCTCCAGGTCTCACCACTTGTAGAGCAGTAAACACTAAGACATCCCTCAAGCCCCTGTTTTGGTCATTTTGATACAGTTGTTTGGGTATATCAAATATGTTGTGACTTTTGACAAGTCTCATTTGTCACAGATACATTTGTATTTGGCTTCCTAAAATATCATTGGCTGGCCCAGCAGCAGTGGTAGTGTTCATCTTTAATCCCAGCACTCAGGAGGCAGAGGCAGGTGGTTCTCTGTGAGTCTGAGGTCAGTCTAGTCTACAGAGTGAGTTCTAAGACTGACAGGGCTACACAGGGCTCAAAAAAAAAAACAAAAAACCACCACCACCACCACCACACACACACACACACACACACACACACACTAACCTTTCAAGTTTCAATTTTTATTTATAAAGTACTTTAGAAAGCACAATCTCAATGCTGAAGATGAGAACTGGATTTGGGGTTGGGATCCAGGTGGTGAACAAACTATTAATGATCATAGAACATTTGCTAGATTCCTCACCCTGGCAAAGGCTGCTGAGCAACCAAGAAAAGCCTAGAATTTCACTTCAAACTTAAATGATTGCCCTCTCAATGTCAAAGATTTGTCCCTTAAAATTAAATACACTGGGAATAAACAGGCACGGCAACACACCCCTATAATTTTCACACAGGGAAAAGAAGATAGGAAGACCAGAAGTTTAAGTTTATCTTGGCTACTTAGTGAGCTCAAGGCTGGCCTGGACTACTTAGGACCCTGCTCGAAAACAAAACAAAATAAAAGGATAAAAAGATAGTGGAGAAGGGCAGTGGAAGTTTGACTCACAACAAAACCCATTTATTTTTGGCTCCAGACCAACATAAGAAATCTTCCATGACCTTTCCATCCCTTCTTTCTGTTGACTGAATTACAGATGTATTTAAATAGCATCCTTTATCTTGATGCTTTGGACGACAGACTAGATATTCCTTTAGAGGCTCAGCTAATTAGAATGACTGAAAGACTATCTTTTGGAGCTGGAGAGATGACCCAGCAGGGAAGAGCACTTGCAGCTCTTCCAGAGGAACCAAGTTTGATTACCAGCACCTACATGGAACAATTCACAAACACCTGTAGCTCCAGGGGATCTATCTGACAGCTTCTCTGGCCCCTCTTTAAGCACCCCAACACACAGGATATGCACATATACAATCAAACACGCATATATAAATAAAATATTTCAAAAAGACTATCTTTTTCTTACTCTAAAAGTAATACAAGATTGTATTTTTTTAAATCTCTGAGAGTGTTCTTCCTTTATGTGCATAAGGCACAGGGTGTGATCCTCTGTACTGCAAACTATGAAACATCTGGTGACTAGGAGTGCAGAGTGAGGGCCCAGGCAGTTGAGCTGTGCTTTACTGGGGGGTGAGCACTGAGGGTGAATCCTTTAAGCACCTGAGTTAGGTTTAGACTTATTGTTTACACCAAATAAGATCACACATCTGGTTTCAGAAGGTCAAGAAAGAAAAGCTCATTGTTCAGGCCTAACCTGATGTCTATATCAACTCCAGCATAGCTTAGAGAGCATCCTGGAGGAGAGGAGGAAAGAATGAAGGAGCTGGAGGGTGGGGAGGCAGGCTGTGAGATCTGTCTTCTTGTCAGGACACACGCACTGCATTCATGAACTCACAAGATCAAGCCAACAAGCTTAGTCAGCATTCCAGTAGGCAGCACCAAACATACTCAATAAGGAGAGAGGGAGAGGGGAGAGGGGGGGAGGGAGGGAGGGAGAGAGAGAGAGGGTGCTAAAGATAGGAGGATGGTGTATTGGGGAAGTATCTTCAGTAAGCAGGTAAACAGGAGGGAGTAGTTAGATCAAGATACGTTGTATACATGTAATTAAAAACAAAGAACTCATTACCATTCCACTTTCATTTTTGAATCAAACACTTAAAATATATCACCAACGCTTTAATTGTATTTTTACATTTCATCAGAAGCCCCTGAAAATGAAATGTTTGGTAGTCGCTTGACCTAGGAAGACCCTATGGCATCAAAACACTGCCTTTTGAGAGTCGAGTCTCTGACTCAGAATTGCCTCTGTTAGAAACCAAGTGGTTACAATTGCAACACACGGGCTGGAATTCCCCACTGTCAGCCTGCTAGTGGCTAGTGCTCCAAGGAGTTCCGTAATGAGTCAAGAAGGAGTCACAGATCCTAGGAACCCGCAATACCTTGCACGCCATGAAAGCTCACCACTTCTCCATCAGAAGCAGGAAGCTGCCTGACATCAGGGAGTGGGTAGCAGCCTACTGGAGTCTACTGTAGGTCCTGGCCCAGTGAGACTTCACTCAATATCCTTCTGGCATAACCTGAGAATTTGTACATATCTGCCATCATCTGGCTACAGTAGCAAGCATGTCTGTAATCCCGGAGTTCCTATGAAGAGATGGAAGACGCAGATAGGAGAATCCACCAAAGCTGCAGCACCAGCTCTTCTGGCATGCACAGTGGTGAAGAGACCTTGCCTGACCTCTGATCGCTACATGTGTGCCCCCCACACAAAGATGAAGGAGGGAGAGAGGGAGGGAGGGAGAGAGGGAGGGAGGGAGGGAAGAAGGGAAAAACAGAGCAAGCAGTAGATCTGGAATAAAATAAGTGCTCTTTTTATTTACTTTTTATTTACTTATTTATTTATTTACTTTTTATTTACTTATTTACTTACTTTTTATTTATTTATTTAGAAGGGTTTACTGTATTATTCACAAAACAACTTTAAGCCAAAATTTTAATGGGAACAAAAAAGCAGAAGTTTAATCCAAGATATGCAAATAATACAACACAAAATGGAAATATCACTATTTCTCAATCTCTTAAAGTAATTTATTTAGGAAGGATTCATCAATGAATTCTTAGAACCAGTGGGTGAAAGATCTTGTCCAACTCTCAGGTCAATTGGTAACTACAAAGAAAAGATGTCCTTTGACACTAGAGAGATCATGAGGAGAGCTGAATGTTACCTACAGCCTACTCAGCAAGAACCAGCCATACAAGTCTGCACCCAGGGACACTCTGAAATAGACCTTAAATAAATCAATGTCCATAGTTTTGAAAATGCCAATTGGTAGAGGCGTGTTTTAAAGGTGGACTTGCAGATGACATGAAAACCATTAAGGGACTATTGGGAACATGTGGTGTGTTCGTTTTGTCAATTTGACACAGCTAGAGTCATTTGGAAAGAGGAAACTCAAATGAAAAAAACAATGGCTCTACCGGATTGGTCTGTGGGCATGGGGTGGGGGGGCATTTTCTTGACCAATAATGAATGTGCAAGATCCCAGCTCATTGTTGGTCAGTGTCACCCCAGGGCAGGTGGTTCTGGGGTATAACAAAGCAGGCTGAGTGAATAGTCAGAAAGCAGTTTTCAGTTCCTGCCTCAAGTTCCTTTGATGGCAGACTATGATGTGGAAGAGTCAGCCAGATAAACAATTTCTTTCCCAAGCTGCTTTGGTCATAATGTTTATCACAGCAATGGAACCCTACGTAAGAGAGGTTATTGGATGATCTTTTTGTCCTGTTTGACCTCCTGACTAAACTCGATATTTTTCAACAAGGACTTGGAAAAGTTCTGGTTGGTTTCAGTTAGTTTATTTTGCAAGGGGAGATATTTTCTCTGAGTAATGTAAGTCTACAGAAAAGTTTCTTGCAAAGTGTAATTTTCCAGCATTTCAAGACTGTGAGTTACTCCCCACTACCCCAGTTTTTGAGAACCTGTTTCAAAACAAAGAAACCACCCCTTTAACAAAAATCAAAAAGCCTGAAGTGGCAGTGCCCACTAAAAATCCCAACTTTTAGGAGGTATAGGAGGATCATAGCTCAAGGCCATCCTTAGGTGGATAACAGGTTCAAGGAGAGCCTGGGCTGTATGAAAACCTATCACAATCTATCAAAAGGCCTGGTGTGACATCCAAACACTAGTCTCCGCACTTGAAAGGTGGAGGCAGGAGGATCAGGAGCTCAAGGTCATCCTCATCACATAAGTTCCAGGCACACCATCCTAAGTGAGGACCTGCCTCAACCAAACAGGCCAGAAGCCATCGTGGACAACTCCAGGCTAATATCTGTGCCTGTTTCTTCCATTATATGACTTTCCTCACAATAAATAATTCAGAAATGACTGAATTCTTTCCATTGGTAATACCTGTCTTCCATGATTAGGACTTGAACTTTGAAGGAGCAAGAAAAGCATCCATCTTTAGTCAGGGAACCTTCCACACATGTGACTTCAGCCTCCATACAAGGGTTATATAGAGAAGGTTCACTCCCACACACTTTCTCCTCTTAATGTATGCAAAATCACCCAACAAAATATTATTTTATTCTTAAAATGTTTCCAAATCTCCTTATCATTACACAGGCTCAGATCTGTAATAATAATAATAATAATAATAATAATAATAAAGTTTTACTTTGGGAATGAAAATCAGGTTGAACTATTTAGATTATAAAGCATTCAGTATTGACCCGAGTGTAAAAGATTAGATTGACATTTAGAAAATGATTCTTTAAAAATGAGAAATGGATATAGAAAATATAATATATATTTGAATTTTTCAGTAATAAAGAATAAAATTATATATCATTTTCAGAAAATGGATGCAAGTGAAGATGAACATATAAAATTAATTAAGTCAATCTCAGAAAGATAACATATTTTCTTTCTTTTATAGTTCCTGGATTGCTAAAATAAAAGGGCAGATTATTGAATCTGCTCTGAAAAGAAAAAAAGGGAGGACATAGATATAAGATAAAAAGGTAGATTATTGAATTTACTTTTAAAAAGAAACTACTAGTTTTAAATATTTTACATTGATATGTATCATTGTATATTGATACAAACAAGGTTATTTTTTAAGAACATACTGTACATACATTTTTAATCTTGTCCAAGGTATCCTATCTATACAGCTCATTTAACAATGCAATTTCTAGTCCTTGAAAATTATTATTACAAACTATTTAGGATAACAAGGAAGTTCAGGTTAGTAGACAGTCACCTATTACAATCAAACTTGTAGTCATATTATGTTTGTTTTCAAGGTCAAACAGAGATATATTTTAGATAGGTAGTCTTCAAACATTTCAGAGATTCACAGAATGTGGCATTTAAGATGTTTTAGTAACATACAGGTCTTTTTTTTATGACAATGAGACATGTCTGCTCCTGGCAGTGCCAATCTACAATGGAGAAGATGATGGGCATTGAAAAATTTCCACCTGTTGATTACTTTCTTTGTGGCAAAAGTTAGCCACTGGCAAGAAAGTGCTCTTGCCTTGACTTCTGACAGTATGCTGTCCAAATTGGACAAGCAGGACACAAAAGAGAGTGACTGCCACACCTTGCCAAGACAAGGTAGGCCTGTCTTTCAAAAATCCGGCTTCATGGAAAAGTCCAACATTCTAGGCCTATAAGCCAAAGACGGATGCCCCACTATTGCAGAGGGTCCTTGGGTATCCAGGAAGCCAGCTGTTTCCATCATTTCTCACATTTTTTGTAAGTCACTTGCTTGAACTTCCTGCCTACTCAGTTAATATTTCCTTATCTGATCTCTGAGGGAGTTGAAGTCTAGATAGTCCTTGTTTACCAGACTCAGAAAAGAAACTCATGAAAGAAATGTAAAGTGTATAAGGTTGGGAGACATTAAAAATAATTTTGATAATGTAAATTAGAATAGAAAGTGAATTAGATACAACCTTTTAGACTCACCAAGATAGGATGGATATGGAATATTTTCTTCCAATTTGTCAAATGCAAATGGACTAGGCATTGTTGATGTATTTATTGCTTGCATGTATTACATATAGTTATTATACTTACTTTATATGGTTTTTATTAACCCAGTTATAACCTTTTTATTTTAGACAAAAAAGGGGAAATATGGTGATATTTGTTTGTGATCTAACAAATAAAGCTTGCCTGAAGATCAAAGTGCAGAGCTAGCCACACTAGTTAGTCATAGATGCAAGGCAGTGGTGGTACACACCTTTAATCCCAAGATCTCAGGAAGCAGAGGCAGGTAGATCTCTATGAGTTCAAGGCCATCCTGGGCTACATGATATTGACCTAATCTAAAAGAGAAACAGAGCCAGGCAGTGGTGGCTCACACATTTAGTCCTAGTATTTGAGAGCCACATGCACTAGGGAGGTGGAGACAGGAATGACAGGGCTCGGTGGAAAGAGGAATATAAGGCAGGAGGAGACAGGAGCTCATGGCATTCAGTCTGGGGATTAGCAGGGACAGAATCACCCCTTTGGTCTGAGGATTCAGTAGAGGTAAGAGGTCTCTCTTGTGGCCGGATCCTTTACTTCTCTGACCTTTCAGCATTTACCCCGATATCTGACTCAGGGTTTTTATTATTAAGACCTATTAGGACTCATGGTAGTTACTAAAAATCATGTGACATGAAAGTAGAAAAACCATTGTCTAGGGGAACAAAGGGACTGAGGCAGTGATGGCACAGATGGTATGGGAGAAAGTTGTTCAAAGTGTATTATATTGTTGTATAAAGTGATTCTTATGTGATTTAGTACTATATACAACAAATATCCATCAATGCAAATTAACCAATTAGGTTTAAAATGTCCATATGAATAAAACACCAAAATCAAATTAAAATGGAAAAAAGTTGCCCTACTGCAGCTAGGGTCTGTGTTGATGTCAATGACTCCTGTTGTCATCTAGGGCCATGTTGATTGCAGGGGCCATACTTCTGCTGGGGCTGTGCCAGTATGGGTGTCCTTCACTGCCACCTGGAGTTACGACGACATCCAGACCAGATCCAACAATCATGTTTGGGCCCATGGTCCTACTGCAGCCTGGGTCTGTGTTGAAGTCCATGGCCCATGTTGCCACCAAAGGCCACATGGAAGCCCAGGGTCTGGTCTATAACCTGTGGCCTTGTTGGTGTCCAGGGGCCATACTGTTTCCAGAGCCGTACTGATCTGAGTGGCCAGTTCTTCCACCTGGAGCCAGGATATTGACTAGGCCAAGCTGCTGCCTAGGGCCATGTCTGGGTCCATGGTCCAGTTGCAGCTGGGGTCTGTGTTGATGTTTGTGACCCATGTCACCTCAGGGGTCCATAGGAACCATGTGTATGAAATCAGAGGTCCCTCCTGAGCCAGGCCCACCCTTTTCTGGCCCTGCCTCTTGCTAGACACTGCAGCACGAAAGCTGGCTTCTGCTCAGGAGAGATGATCCCACCCCTCACTGCAGGCAAGGGAGAACTGACACTGATGGCATGGGCACAGCAGAGCTGGCTCTGCCCCCTTGCCTGAGGCAGGTAGCCCTAGTGGCCTGGAATGACCAGCTCAGCCACCACCCAGGCCCACAGCTGAGCTTTGGGTTGGCCCACCTGTAGCCAGATGTTTCTCTTCCACCCTCCAGTTCCTGAATAACCACTCAGAGATTAATGTTAATTACAAATTACAAACTGTTGGCCTATTAGCTCAGGGTTATTATTAACTAGCTCTTACAACTAA